ATTAATGTATGTGAATTTGCAATGTGTCTAAGCTGTAGTTGCTATAGAAACCATAATTTTGAATTTTCTTTTAAGTTTAGTAAGTGCTCACACATAAAAACTCATCTCCCTAGACAGCTATCTCAAGTTGCAGATATGGCTTAGAGCAATAAATTTATAAACATCATGATTCACAATGATGTATGCACTTTATTATTATAAAAATGTACATTTTAATGTATGCTCTTGGCTGACAGATCAAAACCAACTCAAGAAGCAACTCCTTCGAAAACACACAAAATAAAACTGACCTGGAGGCCATCTACCCTCCTATGACACCTCTGCTGATGTTCAAGTTGCTTACAATAAAGTCACCCTACTATACCCAGACACCAAACTATTATATGGCTTCTCTGAATCCATAGAAGAAAAGATTTTACGGCAGAAAAATCAAGCATGTTCACACAAAAACAGAATGCACTAAGTATCTGGAATTTATTTGATGCACAAACAAATCTCCTCTGGAGTGGGGTTATATAAGCCATCTGGATGATGTAAAAGCACATTTTTTTCCCTTGCTTATGTAGACAGAGTACTCTCAATTATCATGTATGGCTAATCCTTCCCACAATCACTTTTTCCACTCTAATTTAGTCTCTCTGTCATATAAGATGCTTTGAAGCTTCCACTTATTGCTATTCATTTGTAACAGTCAGGGCATGCAAACTAATTTTAATATTAGCCCAAGGAACTATTTGGGGGAAGAGATAAATCCACTGCAAGATCAATCAAGTATTCCAAAGCCAAAAAAAAAAAAAAAAAAATAATTGAGGACTGGTTCCTGTTTTCAATTTTATCATCCACGGCTTGTTTCCATTAATGCAAATAATTAAGAAATGACCAAGGTTTTGGGAACAGAATTACTGCTAAATGTTCCTGACTTGGCACCACTGTGAATTTCTGAGATAGCTGAATCTCATCTCATCAAGCACTTTAATTTATCCTAAATTGTGAATGGACAAAAATCAGACCTATGGTTTTAGAACAGAGGAAGGAGGGCCAGTTTAGAGTCTGTACTCAGCTCATGGGGAAAATGATTCAGGGTCAATATTATAAAGAGAATTATAACAGAATCCTAAGAATTTGAAGGGACCCATGAGATCTGTGGTATCACACACACTGTGGGCTTCTCAGAGGCATGGAGATGCTCAATTTTTAAATAAAGATCCTAGACTACTAGGCTCTTTAGTAAGGTTTTAAGATTTCTGGATCTTCTTTTATTGTTGTTTGTGCACTCTCTTGGTGCCTATGTACTCCTGCCCTAATACCTTATGTGCTGAGAAACCATATCCTCATGTTTATTATAGCTATTTCTAAATTAAGAAAGAGCAAAGAGACTGGATAAGTATCCTAGAAACTCTCTCATGAGCAAAGTGTGTGAATTTCACAGCACAGATTTTATAACACCTATTCTGACTCTGAGAAGACATTTTGGCTTATATTTTCTTGGCTGTGTTCCCAATATCTGGATACATGACTTCTAGAAAAATGAGGTCTTAATGTATTTATGGGAGCCTTTCTCCTATTATAGCTTGGAAAAGTAATGTTTTACATCTTATGTATACTTGGCTATAATTTCCCTCACTATAATTTTACTTTCCACACTGCCCCATAGTCAGAACATATTTTATTAAAAAGGGAATAATTAATTTTATTCCAGAAAAAAATATCCTTTCTCCCTGATTAAGACCAAAGAGGTAAACATGGTCAAGTTATTAGGAACACAGTCTCAGGAATTACTGCCTTCTGGAACATTAAAACCCGAATTTATTATCTGTTGACTTTCATATGTTTCCTGAGTGTTGTCACCTGAGAAGTTAAGCTCTGGAAAACAAATACTTCTCTTTCAAGTTTATAGATATTCTATCAAAATGGCACAAGTTTCTCTGTGGCTTTTGTGAGACAAGCAAGGGAATTCCTAGAAAACGAGGCCAAGGCGGCATAATGACAGTTCTGTTTGGGGAGTAGGAGTGTTGGAGCCAAGGCAAAAAAAAATTAAGGACACATTATGATTGTGGAAGAAAAATATTCGGAGGTCTATCCAATTCCACTATTAAAAACGTGAAAAAAAAAATGGCAGTTGCATTTCAAGACCAATCTGTCCATCACTAACAGCTATAGGAAATGACATTAAGAGGAGAAATACCAGCCACCCTTGATTTTCTCACCTCCTTGTCCTCCCACTCCATGTGCCTCCTGAATTGCAGACTCTGGGAAGTACACACCACCCCCTTTCTCCACTCCAGCTCCTAGGCTGATGAAAGTTACTGACACAAGTAGGTGGCCAAGGAAAGATGGTGGAATGAGATGGACATCATTACCCTAAGTGCATGTATGAAGACACAAATGGTGTGAATATACTTTGTGTACAACCAGAGATGTGAAAAATTGTGCTCTATATGTGTAATATGAATTGTAATGCATTCTGCTGTCATATATATAACAAATTAGAATAAAAGGTCAAAAAAAAAAAAAAGTATGTGGCCCGTCTGAACTGCATGAATGCTTATTTCCCAAACCCCTTGTGGCTTAATTTTTATCTGACCTCTTCCATCACTTCTGCTCCAGAAAAATAAATCTTCCCTTTCCCTTTAGCCCTTCTATCTATGCCCTTGACCTTATTTTTCTCCTTCCAGCCTCAGGGCCATGCTTCTCCAATTTCTCCTCTTTTACTATTTTCAATTATTCCTTTTCCATGGATCCTTCTCTCATCAATAGGAATATTTTGTTTTATCCTTAAAGCAAACAAAAACAAGAAAAAAGGAACAAACACCATTCTCCCTCCAATCTTACTTCCTGAAGCTGCCATCAGCTCTTTTTCTTACAACAACCAAATGTTTTTATTTCCATTAATGTTTTTCTTCCTGACAGATTTGTTGAAGGTAAATCTACTCTTCCAGCTCACCTACACACTCCACATGCCCTTGGTGAATCTGTCTTACTGGACTAGTTCTCTGAAGGACTATTAATCACCTCCGAGGAGTCAGACCTCCTTGGCCTATTTTCAGGCTTTACCCTATTTGATGTTTCCACAATTAATATTCAGCACTGTTGGTGACCCTCTTTCTAGAAATTTCCTACTGTTTATTCTCTAATGTTGAGTTCCCCTGGTTTTCTTCACTTTTTTCACCTTTTTCTCAGCTGCTGATTCTTTCTTCCCCCATATATGTATGTGTTCTCAAAGATCTGTGCTTAGTTTTCCTAATCTATATAACTCATCTACTCTATGGCTCCAAGGTTGGACTTTGATACTGTCTTAATTTCTCTGGATTCTTTAATCCAGTCCTTGTTCTACTATTCCAGTGAATGACCTCCAAGTTGAGTGATCCAATACCAGGCCTCATTTTGACTTCTTAGAAGATTTAAATACTGTTGATTCTTCTGCTCCCTTCTTTCTCCTTCCTCAACACAACCACTCACTCTCTAGTTTCCTATAATCTTTCTGCATCTTCTTTGTGTCCCATGCACGCTCTTCCTCCTTTACTCAACCATTAAACATCAAGAGTTTCTTCAAGGCCCTTTTACCTTATCACTGTGTATTTACATCCAGATTCTACTGCATAGATATACACAAATGTTCACCTCTAACCCATACTTCTTTTGAGCTCCAGAAAAACACACACACACACAAACACCGCCCCCCACCAAAAAAACCTGCCTATTTAGATTTCTTGCTGGATATTCCAAGAGAATCTCAAACTCAGTACACTGAAAACAAACTTACAATTTCTTTTAAATCTGGTCCTCTAGCAACCCTTCCTGAATAAGACCCTCAATCAAGAGGTCATGGTTGACACCCTTCTCTCTTTAACCCCAGTATCAATCCATTAACAATATCCAGTCTATTTTACCCCCTAAATATCTCCCAAAGTTGTCTATTCCTCTTCCTTACCACTATTTTGATCCAGATGAATAAGAATTCATCTAATATACAGGGAAATATGCATATTAATAATGTTATCTTTAAAAATATTTTTTAAAATAGAAGATTTAAAATACTAACAAAATAATGACAGATTTCCAAAGGTCTTGGTTTACCTGGAATATAGTCATGAATTCAGAAATAAGGAAAACAAATAAAAAGCATTCTTCACAGTGAGAGAAACTGTGATTACAGGGCTACTACCACATCCCTAGAACTGCTAACAATTTCTAATCCACTCTGATGGGCGTTGGCCATAACTAAGGAATCTGTATTATTTACAAAATTAAGGTCACAGATTTCACACATCTGAACATCAGGTTCCACACTGGCATGGAAACAAATGGCTTCTGAGGGTATCACTGTTTCACTGTTCACTACCCAACTGGAGTTAATGATAATGACCCAATTTTATAAGAACACGTTTTGCTTGGCAAAATCTTTTTATGTCACGGATATTTATAAAATTTTAAAAAGGTTTACATGAACAAAAGTTAAAAAAAAAACCTTAAGTTTCTGCTAATCATGGTGAATGACTTCACTTTTGGACAAAGGTGGATAAAAATGAAGTGTTGTTTCACATTATCAGTAAAAATTGGCACTACGTCTGCAGGAGATAGATGCAGCATTCATAAATTTCCTCTGAAGAATTAGAGATGAGGATCCATATATAACAGTATAAATCAGTTCACACTGTGGTCTGTACGGCCAAAAATTAAGCAGTAAAAGTGTTTAATTCTAAATCTAAACAGACTACTTCAAATTTAAAAAAAGAAATCTATACCCTGGAGCATTGTTTTAATACCACGCTTCAGTGATATAACATGACTTTGCTTTTTAATAGCTTAAATCAAAATCATTAGACAGATGGGTCAGAGGAAGGTAAATGCAGTCAGTAAGTCAATGCTAAAAAAATCATCCGAAAGCATTAAAATATTGACTGCTGGGTCAAATCAATCACAAACACACAGTGAAGCCCAGGAGGGTCTGAGCCATTTTCTGAAATAAGAGTGTATCTCCAGTTTTGTTGTGACAGTACCTGCAGTGGGGGAGTTCGCATGGTGAGACTTCTTGGGCAGGTTGAAGATCTGTTCACCAGGGTCAGGGGGAGGAATTGCATCTTGCCCTTGTCGTGCCTCCACAGGATCGTACTCCTTCCCATCGTAGTTAGCATCGTAGAATTTCTTAAACCACTGAATAAAATCCAGGTTGTCCTGGAAACGTCCTTTCACTAGCTTCTCCACTGGGATTACCTGCAATATAGAATCACTGTGAGCCAGGAAGCTCAGGTTTGTTGGTATTCAGTCCAACTGAAGTGTTCCTCAAATGCAACCATTTCCTATTTGCCTGCAATTCATGACCACTGATCTCTCTCCCCTGCCCCAGCTTCTCAGCAAGCTGTATTCTAGAATTAACATAAAGCTCATCATTTTAAAGAACTTATTGAAAACAACAGCTGGTTCTCGTGAAATACTTAATACTTCTGAACAAAGCAGACAAAAGAGGGACAGTCAAGAGGGGCTGATGTCTCTTATAGGATATTTAATGTCAAAGCATCTCCCCTAAAAACATAGGCCTGGGATGTTGTGCTGTCAAGATTGATGAGCTTTCCCATTTCTTTGTAACATTTGGCCCAATTGTGTTGGGATAAATTCTTATGAGGATTATAGTCAGTAGAGCATGCAAATTAATAAGATTCAAGTCAATAAAAATGGACACCAATCTAAAGGTTCATATGAAACAAAAGAGTTTTCTCAGAGCTCATTTACAAGGTAGAAAGAGACTAGTATGAAAATAGTTAACCACAATACAAGGCCTGGTAGTGCACAGGCTACCCAGGAGCATAGCTAATGTGCCTTGGGAGTCTGAGGGAAAAGAGATGGAGGTTGATTAATGGGGTCACGGAAGGAGGAGGTGCATAGCACTCACATGGGCAGGAAGGTCAGTTTTTCATGGGGTAACCTTTCCTACTGCAACCTAAAGAGTCAACAGTACTCCCCACTGAGGGCCCTATAGGAACCTTTGGAATCATAACAAGGAAAACACGAAGTTTACTGCTTAGCTCTGCTTCAGTGGGCCACTATTTTTGAGCAAAAATGGAAAGGTACCAAGTTCTCCAAACTGTGCCATCAATAGATTTTACTTTCTATATCTCCAGGTGGTAATGCTAGGTGAGGGCGACCCACAAGAAAGTGACAAGGTATGAGTTAGATATTGTGTGTGTGTGTGGGGGGGGGGCACAGATAATCAAGTGATTCAGGCAGAAACCCAGTCAAAAAAAACATGGCTTCAGTGTGTGACAATACAAATGGAAGCTGTACAAATTAAACCTTCAGAAAGGCTTTGCCACCTCAGAACTATATACCACCAACATTCTAAAAAAAAAAAAAAAAGGTAGTGATTAGGCAGAGGATTCCGAGTTCAAGACCAGCCTTAGTAACTCAGTGAGACCTTGTCTCAAAAAATAAAAAATAAAAAGGCTAAAGGTGTAGCTCAGTGGTAGGGCACTTGCCTGGAGTTTTCAAAGCCCTAGGTGCATCCACAGCAATGCAAAGGGAAGGGGGAAGCAAAAAGACCTTAAACATAATGACAACTAAAAGAAAAAAGCAATAAGCATTTTAGGTTACCCTCTAGACAAAATCATTAGTAATAAATTTTTCAAAAAAAAATTTATGCAGCTAAAATTGAAACTAAGCCCAATGCAGAAAGATGAAAGAGAAGCAAACTTTCAGCTCCTGGTACCACAGATTTTGGTGCCAATTTGTTCTCTTCTCACTTCTCTTTAACAAGGTTCTACGCATGACAGTTTGATGAATTTTTACCTTTTATTTATGTATGAGTTTCAAAGTTTTGTTCATGGGAATATGGATTATTAGAAAGAGACTTCTTACAGCATAAGGTCTTTAGTTAAACACCCTACTCTACTTTGTTGCCAGACATGTGCAAATTTATAGTTTTATGTGATGGTGGTATATTAGTGGTTAAAAGAAGGCCCTTAATTCTATTGACTTCAGTTTGCATTTTCTGCCAAAATGAAAAGTTTCAGGGGCATAAGTTCAAAATCTGAGGTTGTAAACAAAACTTTGCTCAGCACCTTCTGATATACTGTTGCACTGTGACAGGCATAACAGGGGTACATAATACCGACCCTCATAGGACTTTTTTTTTTTTATCAAATTATGACATGTTAAAGCTAGAAAGTCTAACAAAGTCCATCAATTCCAGTCTTCTTCTACCGTAAGAATTTTTCTAGGACATTCTTAACAATTTCTCATCCATTCTCTGCAAACTTCTAGAGAGATATGGGCCCACTATTTGATATATAGCAGGTTCCACCAATAAACCTTGGATAGATATTTTGTTTTTTTTTTTTTTCATTGACTGTAGCAGCATAGCTTAAAAAAATTAATGAAGATCACATAAGTGGCATTGTTAACTTATTTAAGTAAAGAGAACCTATATAGATTTGGTTTTAAATATCTTTGGAAATAACTAATTGGAAATTAACCACAGCAAAGGATATAAAGTAGGTTGAAAATACTCCAAAAGGTTAAAATGTTACAGAGTGTATATTTTGAAATAAAAATTATGAGAAAACAAGACGCCATTTTTTTAACATTTTGATTAAGAATGCTTTTTTACTTAGAAAGAGATTAATTATATTTAATTAAATACATAGTTCAAACTTTTTAAAGTTTTCTCTTATGATTCAGTTATTTTATTTTTTATTGCCATAGCTTATTTATTATTACTATTTATGCAAAGAAAAGTTTTCCATTTCTCCCATGTTGGTTAATCTCCATTCCCTTTTTCAAAATTCATTTTTTCTAAGCTTAACCATCCTAAGAGATATACCCTAAATACAGAACATGAATTAAATATGTTTTGAATAACAGTAAACATACAGAAAAAGAGCATTTTAGCAATAGTCCCTTATTGAGGAAAACATTACTCAGTATCTTTGTGTATCATTTTAGGAATAAATTATAATTCAAAGGGGGGAAAAGGAAAATTTATGGACACTGAGAATCTGAGGGCATATACTCTGCTGAACACTTTTTGCATGCATTCTCTTATTTTAACTATAAATATGCGTGTGAGGTTTCTAGTTCCATTTTATAGATGGGTAAAATCAGGCTGAAAGAATTTAAATAATTTGCTCAAGTCATGGAGCTGAGATTCAAACCCATGGTATTCCCACTGTAACTTGTTTTTCCAAAGGAATAAGATGCACAACCACAGAAACACCTGGCAAACAAAAACATAAGCTTATAACAACAATTTTAACATCTGTGGTTCCTGTGAGAGTTTTTAGTCCAATGGTTATAAGGTTAGACAAGCTTTTGAAATTAAAACCTCACACAAACATACAAAGTTGGACTGATGCTTTACACTATGCATAGATCCCAACTTGTCAAGGTAGCAAGACATATATCCTATTGATGAGTTCTCAGATTTTTGTTCTTTCTGGTCAAAAACAACATTAAGGAAAAACAGTGTATTTTACAGAGGTGCAAGTGAGTCTCCTACCTTATCGACATTCATTCGCTTAAATGATGCTTGCAGAAGTTTAAAATTGTGAATATACTCATGCTCCAACTTCGCTTGAAATTTTACTTTCTTCAAACTAATGCAGCCTGGAAAAAGCATATCCATGAACTGGCAATAGGCTGCTCCTAGAAAGAGACAAGAAAAGTATATAAGTGAGACTGGCTGTACCCAGATGTGACAAAGGATTGGTAAGCAAGAAAATGAACATGCTTGTAGGTAACATCATTCAAAGCAGAGCCCACATGACCATGTGTGTCCTTCTAATCACTACACTTACACTTCTCTGTCCACAGAGACTAGGTGCTAGGGGGACAGGATATTGCCTCAGTGATGAAGAGCCTGCCACTTCCCCATTCCTCACCCTGTGTGCTACACTGCATGTACCAGAGCATCCGGGGCCCAAGACCAAGGGGGAGAACCTCATACACCAAAGTCAAGGGGAAACTAGGCTAAGAGTAACTCCTCCTAGCTTCCACCAGAGAAAAGGAACATACTCCCTCCGCCCCCCCCCCATTTAGATACTACCTAATCGATGTCATCAAAAAAGAGGAAAAAGAACAGAAAATACTACAAAAGTTTTACAAAATGCATAGCTCAAAAAATACACATATGCTGAAGTTGTTCTATAGCCATATTGCAAAATAACAGGGATGAAAAATGCATCACTAAGCCATTGAATGCCCCAAACAGTTGTATACCAATCAACAGGGTGCCCATATTAACATGAAAGATGAAGACAGGAGTACCTTGAGACTTACAGAAATTCAGAGTCATGCTGTTTATGACTGAGAAATAAACATGACAGAAATGTTCAATGAGTCCCCTGAAAAAATAGTCATAGGAAAATTTTTTTTTTTTTTAATATGAAGAACTCTTAGAACACGAATCTCAGTTAGAAAATACCAGAAACAGCATGTTTACTTATACATCTCTTCTTAATAGCAAAAGACTAACGGCATTTAGCTAAAGAAATTCAAAGTCAGAATGATTTTTTTTTTCTTTTGCAAGAAAGAAAAGCAATTGAATGGCAAGACTTTGAACAAGTGGCCATTTTAAAAAATATATTTTGGTTGTGGATGGACACAATACTTTTATTTTTATGTGGTGCTGTGGATTGAACCCAGTGCCTCCTGCGTGGTAGGCAAGTGCTCTACCACTGAGCTACAACCCCAGCCCCACAAGTAGCCATTTTTTTTTTGTTTGTTTGTTTCCAGGTGTGGTATATTTTGCTTAATATGATGACCTTCAGTTTTATCCATTTTCCTACAAATAACAGGGATTACATTCCTCTTTATGACTGAACAATACTCTATTGTGTATATGTACCATATTTTCTTTATCCATTGTGAATGTGTAACTGATGTGATTCTGCAATTTGTATTCGGGGTAAAAATGGGAATTCATAACTCACTTGAATCAAATGTATGAAAGATGATATGTCATGAGCTTTGTAATGTTTTGAACAACCAATAAAAAAAAAAAAAAAACAAGTAGCCATTTTTAAGTTCATTCTTTCTTTGCTATCTCCAGATCTCTTGGTCTGTTTCAATAATGTGCAACTGACAGACTTTCTGGAACATGAATGGCCTCCCTTATCCTTTAACAACATCAAGGCTTCTGAAAGGATACTCCCTTCTATGTGAGTAATTTGCCTTCAGATGGCAAAGACCCACTCTGTCTCTCCTGCCAAACAGATGTAGAGCATCCTTTACTGAGACAGGAATCCCAGACAGGTGGGAACAAGACCACAATCCAGGGTTGTAGAACAGGAAATGTTGGGCAACTTGTATTTTGTAGGAAAAAGCATAAAGGGATGAAATGCAGGCCATAATCAAATCTCCAGAGTGCCTGCATCTGGCTCTCCACAGATGCCAACACCCTGAATACCAACGAGTCAGTTTCCTGTCAAGCAGGTGGGTTCTCTTAGAAACAGAATATAACAAACCAAACCCCAAAACATTGGAGGTAGAAAAAGAAACATCATGACATGGGGACCATTCCTACAGTTATTATCCAATTATTCAGTCTGCCTTCTAAAGTACCACCAGATGGAGCAAATTCCAACAGCCACTTTAACTTTACATAGGTGGGAATGTTGAACTAACTGCCTTTACCCGCTCTGTAAGTTATTTTCACTTTTATAGTGTTTAGCATAGAATTTACCAATGGAGACCCAGATATTCTATATTCTCACAAACCAACCAACCAAATCACTGATCTTTCAAATTTAAAAAGAAAATCCAGATTATAGAAAAAATAATCAATATAGAGAGGGAAGGAAGAAAAAAAATCAATTTTAAGATGACCATCCAAGAGATACACTGGATGGTGTATCTAATCATTGGGCAGAGGTTATTTTTTTTTTAAATGTGATAATACTTTAGAATGTAATCATATATCATTTTTATGTACATTTTTAACTATACAAATCATGATTCCCTTTCTGGGTCATTGAATATTCTCTATCAATATTTTTTAATGGCTTTCTGATATTTATATCATGCATAGCAACTGTCCCAAACCACGATTATATAAATATTCATATGTAGTTTAAGTACTTTTATGATCTTAAGTTCTACATTTAAATTCTGAATCCATGTGAAATTTATTTTGGTCTATGATATAAAGTATGATTCTAATTTTAGTCATCCCAAATGTTAGTGGAAATCTGTCACTTTTGGCTCCCCTGCATTTGGGCACTTTCCTACCTGGGGAGATGTCCCACAGAAGCTGAAAATGGGCAGGCCTCCCTTTCCTGATCCAGCAATAAGGACACAGGCCCATGACCAGGGCTCTGCCTTGGATGTTTCTGCCTAGGTCTCTTGTGGAAGGAGTGATAGAAATACACAGAAACAAACAGAACTACTCATGGTGGCAGTGGTATGTCTAGAGTCCTGAGCAGGGACAGCAGAATAGTGACATGCTAACCATCCTATTCCTGTGGCACAAAGAAGGCTGCATTCCCAGCTCCTGAGCATCCTTTGCTTCCCTCATCTTCTGGGCCTGGCTTTCCACTGACTCTGAGCTACCCAATCTCTCTTCTGCTTAATCTGATCATGATTAATTTCTGCTATTTCAACCCAAATGCCAACTGATAAAACCAGGTAGGTGTTAACCACCATCATTTTTAAAAACATTTTATTTATTTATTTATTTACTTACTTACTTACTTATTTTTATGTGGTGCTGAGGATTGAACCCAGTGCCTCACACATGTGAGGCAAGCACTCTGCCACTGAGCCACAATCCCAGCCCAACCACCATCATATAAAGGTAATATCCACTTTCCTCACTGGTGAGGAGCACTATCCATCCATACTGTACTATACATTACTTTAAAAAATGTTCTAATTAGTTATACATAATAGCAGGATACATTTTGATTCATTGTACACAAATGCAGCACAATTTTTCATTTCTCTAGCTGTACACAATGTAGAATCACACCACATGTTCATCTCATTACACCATCTTTCCTGCCCTCATATCCCTTCCCCTTTCCTTCCTCCCTTTTACCCAATCAAAGTTCTTCCATTCTCCCCATGGCCCTCTCCTCCCCCCCCACCATTATGGATCAACATCCACTTATCAGAGAGAACATTTGGCATTTGTTTTTTAGGACTGACTTACTTTGCTTAGCATGATATTCTCCAACTCCATCCATTTACCTTCAAATGCCATAATTTTATTCTCTTTTAATGCTGAGCAATATTCCATTGTGTATATATGCCACAGTTTCTTTATCCATTGATCTGTTGAAGGGCATCTAGGGTTGGTTCCATAGCTTAGCTATTGTGAATTGAACTGTTATAAACATTGATGTGGCTCTGTATGTATTACTTTCCTAATACATGAGACTGGAACTTTTTCTTGACTGTTTTTTGGTATGTTCCTGTGATAGCTCTAAACTCTTATTTAAATTCTATATGTTGTATTACTATCTGTAGTATAAATTTCTCCTCTTTCTCAAGGCTTTCTTAAATTTCATCATACATTTATTCTTTCCATTGTAATCTTTAATTTGTTATCCATGGTACACAGAAAATAATAGTTTTTTAAACACATAAGTAATTTGCTTGCTATTTAATAACGGCTTTACTGAAATCCATAAACTGTGAAGTTCAAGCTTTAAAAGTATACAATTCAGTGAATTTTAATATATTCGATGACTTGTACATCCATTACTCACTGTCTAATTCTAGAAGTTTTTCATTACCACTAAAAGAAACTTCATGCCCATTAGCAGCCTCTCTATATTCTCTCCTTCCCTTCTGCCCTGGCAATCACTAATCTCTTTCCTGTCTCTACACATTTGCGTATTCTACAGATTTCATATAAATGGAATAATATGTGGACATTGTATTTGCTTTCTTTCACTCAGGAAAGAAAACATAGTTTATGAATGTTGTGGCATGAAGAGAAATTTCTTTTTATAGTTGAATAATAATAATGTATAAATGATTCCATTACATAAATATCCCAGAATTTATTGATCTATTCATCAGTGGATGGATATCTGGGTAGCTTTCACTTTTGGACTATTTTAAGTAATGCTATTATGAACGTTCATGTATAAATTCTTGGTGGAATTTGTAGGTATATCTCAGCCATATACCTAGAAGTGGGTACTGCTGGGTCATATGATACCTCTGTACTAAACATTTTGAAGAACTGCCAAACTGTTTCCTAAAGCAGGTGTACTATTTTATTTTCCAACCAGCAATGTATGAGAACTTCAATTTTTCCACAGCTGTGACATCTGTTATTTTTATTCTAGCGATCCTAGCGGATATGAAGTGGTATTTCACTGTTGTTGTAGATTGATTTCCTTAATGAATAATGATACTGAGTATCTTTTACATGTGCTTTTTTGGCCAAGTGTGTAACTTCTTTGGAGAAATGTCTGTGCAAATTCTTTGCCCATGTTTAAATTGAATTGCCTTTTTTATTATTGAGTTATAAAAATTCTTTTTATAGTCTAGATATCTTCTCAATATATGATTCACAGATATTCATTCTCTCCTGTGGATTCACTTTCTTGATAGTATCCTTTGAGGACCAAGATAATTTTGAATAAATCCAATCCAATTTGCCTAATCTTTTCTTTTATCACTTGTGCTTTGTT